ACGTCTCCAAGGCGACGCGGCGTGCGTGAGGGACGCGGCGCCTGGGACCCAGGAGTTCGCGCAGCCGCAGTGCGTCAGGAGACACGCCCCCTCTCTGGCAGCCTCGCGCTGTCCGGGCGCACCTGGGTGGACCGGGCGCTTGTTGGTCTGGGATGGGTGGGCGGCGCGTCGTTCTGCAAGCCCCTAATTAAAATTATCCCAGGCTGATAACTACATTTTAAGGGAAGGATTCAGAAGCTAACAAGAGCTAGTTGTTAAAATTTTAAATTGGGGGTCCACTCTTGATCATCTTTTAAAAATCGGAGTGGATGAGGGTAAGAGACACTTTTACGTGCTTTTCTCCTGTGCTTTGTAAAATATCGCGTGAAAGCACATGAGATATCTGGTGGAAAGAGCAAAAGCTAGCTAGTATCATACATTTAAATGCTTGAAAGGTTTTACGTTAAAAACATGAGGAAAAAAATTGTTGGGTGTCTCAGGATTAGAATATTAGGTAATTTGCATTTTTGCCCTATTTTCTACATGTTAATTTTTAAAAATATATTTTTATTGATATCAGAGAGGAAGGGAGAGACAGAAACATCAACGAGGAGAAAGAATCACCCATCGGCTGCCTCTTGCACACCCCCATTGGGGATCCAGGCAGCAACCCAGGCATGTGCCCTTGATTGGAATTGAACTCAGGACCCTTCAGTCCACAGGCTGACACTCTATCCACTGAGCCAAACCAGCTAGGGCTGAGCAGAGCTTCTTGAAAAAATATTTTTTTTCCTTAATCCAGGTTGTGGTTGTATGAGTGAGTTTGCCTTGTGAAAATTTACTGAGATGAGCCCTTAGAATTTGTATACTTTTCTGAATGTATATACTTTTTCAATAAATACATTTATTTTTTATAAAATGCTATGAGACATGTTTTTGCAAGCACAGGTAAATGTAGTTTACAGATGCCCCCCTTTAGTAAATTACTACCTTTATTTCTAGGTAATAATTGTCTTCTTTCACAAGCACAAATTGAGACTCATAGAGAGAGGTAAGGTGAGACCAAGGTTCCACAAGACATTCAAGATCCTAGTGGAAGAGTACGTCCTAACTAGGATAAACCCGAGGGCCTAGGAAATTAGCTCCAGGCCAAGCCAATATCACCACAATAAATTGCCTGGAGATTTCACGTGTGACTTGTGGTAATTTTAAAATACGCTCACACTTTCTTTCAACACTCCTCCCATATAAAGGTGGAGTCTAGGCCCCTCCCCTTGAACATGGGCCAGTCCTGGTGACTCCTAGCTAAAGAACAGAAAGTGGCACAACAGACACTGAGTGATCTTGAGGCTAGGTTCGAAAAGAAAATTCAGCAACTGTCTGACTCAGAATCCAGCCACCATCTTGCCACAGAGAAAGGCCATGTGTCAGTGTTTCGGCCAATTCCAATGGCCCCAGCTGACAGCCACCGTCAACCATCAAACATGTGAGCCACTAGGTATGATCCTAGGTGATCCCAGCCCCCAGCCTCCCACCACCACAGCTGATTTTCAATGGAGCAGAGACCAGCTGTCCCAGATAAAACCACCCAAATTGCAGATTGGAGTGCAAAATAAATGTGGAGTGAAGCCACTGAGATTTGGGGTCGTTTGTTACACAGCAATCAAGAACCGGAACAGTGTTTTTAATATGTCTAATTCCTACTACAAGCTTAAAAAGTAGATACTACTCGGCCAGTGTTGCTCAGTGGTTGAGCATTGACCCGAAAGGGAGAGAGGGAGAAGGGGAAGGGAGAAAAACATCTATGCGAGACACATTGATTGGTTGCCTGGCTCATGCACCCCCACAGGGGTGGGGATCTAACCTGCAAACCAGGTGCCTGCCCTTGACCCCTTGACCAGAATGGAACCTGAGACCCTTGGTTCGCTACCAACACTCTAACCAATGTACACGCCCGCCAGGACACAGCTTGGTTTTTTAAAACAATAATTAAAACGACCATTGTTTGATCACCTATAACGTGTCTCTGTATAGGCTTAAAAACACACACACACGGCAGCTTTATGAAGGTTGTATGAGGCCTTTTGCCCACCTTCTCCTATTTAATCTCGACAACAGCGGTGTGAGTTACCATCATCCCAACTTTACAGATGAGAAAACCCAGGCTAAGAATGAATAACTGGCCTAATTGTCCGCCGTCTGTAGGGTGTGGTAGGGCTGGGAGGCAAATTCGGCCCATTTGCAAACGCTTCCCTCTGCCTCTTGCAGAGAAAATAGAATTTGTGAGAAACACACTGTTATTTCGTATTACAGAGGAAAAGAAAAATGTTTACGTCCCAATTTTCTCTGTTGCCAAGACTCATGAGAAGAAAACTTAGTGATCAGTGTCCAATCCCTGAGTTTCACAGGAAAATTAAGCTCAAAGAAAGTAGGTCCCTTAAAAAAAAAACAACGCCATCCACACCCATGTGTCATTTCACACAAACCCTGGGCGGCCGCCGGAACTGCGCTAATCCTGCCGAGCAGGCTCACAGGGGACCCGTCCGGCCTTTTCTGCCCGCTCCTCCCCGGACCACACCGGAGGGAGGTCATATTTGCTTTTCTGTGTCCCCTTCTGAGTGTCCGCACTCGGGCCTCGGCGCTGGGCGTCCATTTCCACCGAACACACTCGCGCTTCCCCTTCCCGGCAGACGGCGGGTGATGGGCGGGAAACACACTTCCATGAACCTGTCAGC